ATGGAACCTGGGATCCCTCAGTGCACAAGCCAATGCTCTGTCCACTGACCCAAACCAGCTAGGGTTGGGGTGTTTTTTTCTACCTTGTCTTGTAACTCACTGATGCGGTCCTCAGCAGCTTCTAGTGTACTGTTGAAACTTTTCATTGTGTTTTTTATTTTGGCTGTGTCATTCTTCATTTCCCCTTGATTTGTCTTCATTTCCTCTTGATTCTTACACGTAATTGAAATTGTCTTTCATCCTTTTCAGTGTCCTTATAACCATTGCTCTTAATTCTTTCTCTAACAAATAGCTTGCCTCCACTTCATTTTTTTTTTCTTTCTGGTGTTTCTTCCCTTTTTTTTGAAGGTGGTTTATTTCTTTATCTCCCCATATTTGTTGTTCCTCTGTGATTATTTCTACATATCAAACTGTTATGCCACCTAGATTTTTTGAGTTTGTCTTATACAATAGATGTTTTGTAGGACTTAGTGGTGCAGTCTTTCCAGTCTTTTGGGATGGGCAATCTAGGATGGCCCCTACTTGGAATATATGGGTTCTCTTCTTATATTTGTGTCTTGAGTGTTATTGTCTCATTCATGGATGGAGTCTCCTCTCCGGGTGTCTGGTTATGTGGCTCTCTCTCTACCATGTCATGCCAACCATTATGGAGGTGCTGACTGAACAGCACAAAATAAAACATAAGACATGACACAAAAGGAACAGAACACTTTACACAAGACACCTATAACCCCAATAGGAGTGGCCACCAGAGGAAAGAGAATTAGGAGAGAGGAAAGAGAGCAAAAAAGATCGCAAGAAAAGAAAAAAAAAAGAAGAAAAAGAAAAAAAGGAAAGACTATGGAGAGACAACACAACAAAACAAACAAATAAACCCAAAAGCACAAACAAAACACACCCAGAAGAAGCAGGGTCAGAATCTGTAGAGGCAGAGCTTAAATGCAGAAAAAAGGGTTAAGGAGATGGATGAATAGGGGAAGAACCACTGTTTAAAAAAGAGGAAGAAAAAGAGTGGATAAGAAGAAAAAATGTGTATTTATTTTTTAATTTTTGAAAAGGAGAATAGAGGAGAGAGCAGATAGGCCTGAATTTAGGAAGTGAAACTAATTAAAAAAATTAGGAGGAGAAAGGAGCAAGAGAGGAGAGGGGAAATAATATTGAGTGCTTAAAAAACAGAAAAGAGAAGGGGAAATGGAATAGGAGCAGGGAAGAGGAGATTAGATATATGAATAAGCCAATGAGACTACAATAATAATAACACATCAGTAAAGCAGATAAAGAAAATTACTTTTTAACAAGTGGTAAAGAGAAAGAAAAGGTAAAAGCTGAAGTGGGGAAAGTAGAAGAAAAACAGGATGAAAAAGGGAGAAGCAAGGAAGAAAAGGTGAAAATAAATAAAATAGAATAACAAAAAATAAATACATAATACTAAAGAAATTCAAAATTTTTTAAAAATATTAACCCTTTTCGGTCCAACGTCAAGGCTGACTCGACAGACCAGGCGCTAGTAGCAGGTCCAACGTCGAGGCTGAGGTCAACACCGCAAACTGGTTCAACATTCAATCCCCTCAGTTAATTTGGACCAGACTGTTTGAATTCCAAAAATAAAATTGGACCGCAAAGGGTTAAAAATGTCATTCGCTTTAGCTGTGTTTTAATGCCCGTTAGAACCCTACTCTTTCTGCCAATTCTGGGCTTCCGGTTAGGTAGTTAGTTCCTGACCACTGTCAGTCACTGTCTTTGGCGATTAGCACCATGTTGAATCTCCAAGCTATCCACGGCTCCTCTGCTTGTGTCTATCTCCACAGGCATTGACTGCAAGCAGGCGGTACCAGTCTGCATGCTTTGCCTGTCTGCCAGCTGTCAATCTTAATTACTCAAGCATCTGTTTCTGTCGGGGCTTAAGTGGGGTTGGTGCTGTTTCTCTATCTGGGGATCAGATGGATGTATTTTTCCTGACCCAGGGCCACTCCTCCGAGAGTGGCCCAAAATATAGCTCTGGCCTTTGTTGGTCAGAGAGAGATCCTTGTATGGAGACCAGTGGGTTTGGCTGGCAGCCTGGTGTTTTTATTAGTCAGGTTCCCAGAACAGTGGGGTGCACCAGCACCTCTTCCAACCCAGCCACTGAGGGCTCTTTGGGGGCTATTCAGAACCTTTGTTTCCTTTGTATAGCTCAGAATGCAGGCAGGATGTGGCAGGCTGTATTCCCTACCTTGAGGCCACTGGGAAGGGCTAGCTCTTCTGGGGAGAAATGGCCACTTGGGTTTGCAGTGGTTCTCAACCTTCCTAATGCCGCGACCCTTTAATACAGTTTCTCATGTTGTGACCCCCAACCATAAAATTATTTTCGTTGCTACTTCATAACTGTAATTTTGCTACTGTAAACAATATGTAATTATATATGTGTTTTCCAATGGTCTTAGGCGACTCCTGTGAAAGGGTCGTTTGACCCCCAAAGGGGTCACGACCCACAGGTTGAGAACCACTGGTTTAGAGAGTTAGGAAGAGTCTGGCCAGGTCTCACTACCCTGCCTCTCCTCGGGCTCTACAAATCCATACCTCTCCCTGCACCAGAGCCTAGGGTGAGTTTTTTTAACTGAAAAGTCCTATAATCTGGGTTTAGCAAATAAAAGTAAAGACAAAACAAAACGAAAGCAAAACAACCATGTAACTGTGGGTTTCTCTCCCCATGGCACTGAACCACTTGGGTTGCTTTTCAGGCTGTCTTTTGGGGCGCAGTTCCCTGCGACTGTGATCCCAGGTAAACTGCCCAGGCACTAGCAGCCTTGGGGTTTTTACTTTTTCACAATTGGGTATTATGCCTGTTGCTAAGGTGACACTGCTTTGGTGCAATGCAGCCTCCACCTCACCCTCTCGGCACAGAGGTCAGATATCCCTCTCTAGCACAGATCCCCATTCCTACCATTCTCCAGGCATCCTTTGCCCTTCCTTATTTAAAATTATGTTCTCAGCTGTTTCTAATTTGATAATTCTGGGTGGATGTTCTCCAATTTAGTTGCTTTTTCCAGTCTGGCCCTGGGCGAAGATGCATGACATGTCTGCCTATTTGGCTGCCATTTTCTTCCTCTCCCTATCTTTATAGACTGCAGAACTTTGTATCTTTTCGGTTATTCTTCCTTTTTAATTGATTCACTGTTTTATTCTTCACCATAAGACAGTTTGTGATAATTCTTATGTTAGAGCTAATCTTACTTTTTTAGTTCAGTTTTGAAGTCAAACTGATTTCAAATATAGATACAGATGCAAATCAAAATGACAATGCGTTATCATCTCACACCTGTCAGAATGGCTATCATCAACAAATCAACAAACAACAAGTGTTGGAAAGGATCTGGAGAAAAAGGAACCTGTCTACACTGCTGGTGGGAATGCAGACTGGTGCAGCCACTGTGGAAAACAGTATGGAGCTTCCTCAAAAAACTAAAAATGGAACTCCCATTTGACCCAGTGATCCCACTTCTAGGACTATATCCCAAGAAGCCAGGAACACCAATCAGAAAGGATATATGCACCCCTATGTTCATAGCAGCAAAATTCACCATAGCTAAGATTTGGAAACAGCCTAAGTGCCCATCAGCAGATGAGTGGATTAAAAAACTGTGTACATCTACACAATGGAATACTACGCTGTGGTAAAAAAGAAGGAACTCTTGCCTTTTGCAACAGCTTGGATGGAACTGAAGAGCATTATGCTAAGTGAAATAAGCCAGTCAGAGAAAGATAAATACTACATGATCTCACTCATTTGTGGAATATAGAGAACAAAATAGACTGATGAACAGGGACAGATCCAAAGACAGAGAAACAGCGATCAGACTATTAATCCCCAGAGGGAAAGTAGGGGAGGGTGGGGGTAAGGGGAAGAGATCAACCAAAGGACTTGTATGCATGCATATAAGCCAAACCAATGGACACGGACAACAGGGGGATGAGAGCATGAGTGGGGGGGGGGGGGGAGAGGATGCAGGTTAATGGGAGGGATGATGACACATTTGTAATTCCTTAACTAATAAAGAATTTAAAAAGAAAAGAAAAAGAAAAGAAAGAAAATTGCATCAATAAAATCTGAATTTTTTGGATGTTTGATTATTCCTGAAATCTTTTTTGTTTTTTTAATGAGTGGAGGAAAGTGAAAAAAAAAAAACACCAAAGACCAGCAAAAGGAGAAAAAAATTTTTCATAAGTGGACCCTATTACCTCTTTTCTGATACAAATTAAGTTATTTAAAAGGATATGTAAACTTTTTTTCTCTCTGTTAAACAGACATAGTTCTACTTTAAAATGGGGGGAAAATTAGAAAATAGTATGTGATTAATCAACAATCATTTACACTGTGTGCTTTCTTTGTATCAGGCCCTGCATTAAATACTAGAAGTACTGGGGTGAAACAATTGGGGAGAGTACTTGCCTATCAAAGTAGTGTTTGGAAGTCTGAGGGGAGTGTAGATTTTTAAAAATACATTTTTATTGATTTCAGAGAGGAAGAGAGAAAGAGAAACGTCAATGATGAGAATCATTGATTGGCTGCCTCCTGCATGCTCCACACTAGGGATCAAAATGGCAACCTGGGCACGTGCCCTGACCAGGATTTGAACTGTGACCTCCTGGTTCATAAGTTGAAGCTCAATCACTGAGCCATGCCAGCCAGGTCGGGAGTGTGGATTCTTTGTCCCACAGTATTTATAATGTCAGTATTTGTGGCTCAATTGGTTGGAGCATCATCCTGTACACCAAAGATTGCAGGTTTGATTCCTGGTCAGGGCACATACCCAGGTTGTGTGTTTGATCCCTGGTCATAGTGCATACTGGGGTGGTGGTGGGGACATTGGTGCTTTTCTCTCACATTAATATTTCTCTCTCTCCTCCTCTACCTTCTTCTCTAAAATTAATGAAAAAATATCCTCGGATGAAGGTTAAAAATATGGGGGGAAAATGGTGAATGAATACTGAAATAAAGCAGATCATGTTTTGTTTATTAGGCCTGGAATCCAGCTGCTGAAGATCAGTGCTTTGACAGATGCCATAGACTTGGCCAGAAGCAAGAAGTCATCATCACAAAAGTGAGTTTTGAAGCCATTTATCTTAAAATTAAGTTTTAAGGGTTTCCAAGTTATACAAATAATGCATGATTATTTAAAATTTAAAAGTAAATATACACATTTGTATATGTATTTAAAATTTTTTTTAAAATCTTTATTATTGAGAGTATTATAGATGCCCCTCTTTTTCCCCTCCACCCAGTTCCCGCCCCACCCCAGGTGTTTGCCACCCTATTGTCTATGTCAGTGGTCGGCAAACTCATTAGTCAACAGAGCCAAATATCAACAGTACAACGATTGAAATTTCTTTTCAGAGCCAAATTTTTTAAACTTAAACTATATAGGTAGGTACATTGTTATTAACTTAATTAGGGTACTCCTAATCTGGCCTTTGCTAAAAACGTCCTCAATCTAATTGAGGTACGTTCGCTGAGGTTGACCCTTCCAACTCTTCCATCCACACTTTCTTGTATACTTGTTTCGTCTATCTCCTTTCGTTTGTCCTCTATATATGTCCACACCCACTTCTTCTAATGCCACTTCTTCAAAATAGACTCGTCCAGGCCAAAAACCGACTTCTGTACATGGGCTACGAAGTTTCAATCACACTGTATATGGGTGCCCGCACGTGGTATTTTGTGGAAGAGCCACAATCAAGGGGCCAAAGAGCCGCATGTGGCTCGCGAGCCTCGGTTTGCTGACCACTAATCTATGTCCATAGGTAATGCATATATGCATGTAAGATCTTTGTTTAATCTCTTTCCACCCCCCACACTCTTGCCTCTGAAAATCATTCTATTCCATTTCCATGCCTCTGATTCTATTTTATTCACCAGTTTATTCTGTTCATTAGATTTCTTATTTATTTTGATGTTTAGATTTAATCGTTGATAGAAATGTATTTATTGCCATTTTATTGTTCATATTTTCCTTCCTCCTCCTCCTCCTCCTCCTCCTCCTCTTTTTCCTTCTCTTCTTAAAGAATACCCTTCAACATTTCATGTAATACTGGTTTGGTGGTGATGAACTCCTTTAGCTTTTTCTTATCTGTGAAGCTCTTTATCTGACCTTCAATTCTAAATGATAGCTTTTTTTTTTTTTAAATCTTTATTGTTCAGATTATTACAGTCGTTCCTTCCCCCCATAGCTCCCCTCCACTCGGTTCCCACCCCACTCTCTGCCTTTGCCCCTCCCCCTCCACTGTCCTCATCCATACGTGTACGATTTTTGTCTAGTCTCTTCCTGCACCCCCCACACCCCTTTCCCCCTGAGAATTGTCAGTCCACTCCCTTTCTATGCCCCTGATTCTATTATATTTTAGAACCAGTTTATTCTGTTCATCAGATTTTTTATTTACTTGATTTTTAGATTCATTTGTTGATAGATATGTATTTGTTGTTCATAATTTTTATCTTTACCTTTTTCTTCTTCCACTTCTTAAAGAATATCTTTCAGCATTTCATATAATACTGGTTTGGTGGTGATGAACTCCTTTAGCTTTTTCTTATCTGTGAAGCTGTTTATGTCACCTTCAATTCTGAATGATAGCTTTGCTGGGTACAGTAATCTTGGTTGTAGGTTCTTGGTATTCATCACTTTGAATATTTCTTGTCACTCCCTTCTGGCCTGCAAAGTTTCTGTTGAGAAATCAGCTGACATTCATATGGGTACTCCCTTGTAGGTAACTGACTGTCTTTCTCTTGCTGCTTTTAAGATTGTCTCTTTGTCTTTTGCTCTTGGCATTTTAATTATGATGTGTCTTGGTGTGGTCCTCTTTGGATTCCTTTTGTTTGGGGTTCTGTGTGCTTCCTGGACTTGAAGTCTATTTCTTTCACCAGGTAGGGGAAGTTTTCTGTCATTATTTCATCAAATAGGTTTTCAGTATCTTGCTCTCTGTCTTCTTTAGGCACCCCCATAATTCGGATGTTCGGATGTTGGTACGCTTGAAGTTGTCCCAGAAGCTCCTTACACTATCTTCGTATTTTTGGATTCTTTTTCCTTTTTGCTTTTCTGGTTGGGTGTTTTTTACTTCTTTGTACTTCAAATCTTTTACTTGATTCTTGGGATCCTCTAGTCTGCTGTTGAATCTCTGTATAATATACTTTATTTCAGTCAGTGTATGCTTAATTTCTAGTGGGTCCTTTTTCATATCCTCGAGTCTCACTAGACTTATTGAGGGTCTTACTAAATTTATCGACGGTTTCTAGAAAATTCTTGAAAAACCTTATAACTGTGGTTTTGAACTCTAAATCCAGTAGTTTGCTTTCGTCCATTTCTGTCATTTGTGACCTGTTTCTTTGTCTCCGCATTTTGGCTGCTTCCCTGTGTTGATAGAGTGGCTTTCTGTGCTAGGTGTCCTATAGGGCCCAGTAGCTCAGCCTCTCCTATTACCTGAGGTGGACACTCTTGGTGCACCCCTTTGTGGGCTTTGTGCACAGTCTTGTTGTAGTTAAGCCTTTATTGTTGTAGGTATCACTGGGAGGAATTGACCTCCAGGCCAATTGGCTATGAGAATCAGCTGTGTCTATGGTGGGAGAACTTCTGTGCTGGAGACACCCTTCTGGGGCAAGACTTGCTTCAGTGGGGCTTTGGTGCTCACTGAGTCTGCCCCTGAGTGTGTCCCTTATGGATCTGAGGAGTTGTAATCTGGATGGTCCCACTCTGACCATGGGGTACACTAGCACTTGGATCTCTAAGGAGGTGCTAATTTAGCCTCTGCCTGAGGCTACCCAGCAGGAGCTACAGAGAGATCTGCAGATTCCTCTTCTTTGTTTGGGATTTGGAAGTGCCCAGATGAGGCCCAGCTGTGAAGCAGTGCAAGCTGCTGTGGGGCCTTGGGCCTTCTTTTGGATGTTCTGGGTCTCTCTGATCCAGCTGCAGTTTGTTAGGTAATTTTAGATTGCAAAGGGCCAGGCCATTCATATCCAAAAGCCTCTGCGCACAGTTTGGGTGGGACAGGATCTCAGGGAGTCAACAGGGTGGAGCAAACAGCTATGGCTGATCCTCAGTCCTGCCCTAAGAGGCCCCGGGTCTCAGTGTCCTGGTAATCGCTGCAAACACCTCTGAGAGAAAGCCGCCCTCGAGTTCTGCCCGATGCCAGACAGTCCAGTTTCTCCCCGTATGATTCTGGGTCCCCAGAGACTCACCCAGAACTGGAGTTCAGGGCTGTTGGGAGCTTGTGCCTCCCTCCCGATTGAAAAAGACAACCGTGTCCTCAGTTGACAGCCCTTTCCCCACGCCTCCGTACCTCTGCACTTTACCTCTGCACCTCCTCTGAGCCTCAGTGTGCTTTTCTCTTTCTTTATAATTGTAGAATTTCCACTCAGCCAGCCTTCTTGTGGTTCTGGATGATGTCCGTTTTGTCTTTTAGTTGTATTTCTGAAGTGGTTGTGCGAGGCAGCAATTTCAGGTGTTTACCTATGCCACCATCTTGGTTTCTCCCCCTAAATGATAGCTTTGTTGGGTAAAGTAATCTTGGGTGTAGGTCCGTGCTATCCATCACTTCGAATATTTTTTGCCACTCCCTTCTGGCCTGCATAGTTTCTGTTGAGAAATCAGCTGACAGTTGTATGGGTGCCCCTTGTAGGTAACTAACTGCTTTTCTCTTGCTGCTTTTAAGATTCTTTGTCTTTAACCTTTGGCATTTTAATTATGATGTGTCTTGGTGTGTTCCTTTTTGGGTTCCTCTTGTTTGGGACTCTGTGCTTCCTGTCTATGTCCATAAGTAATGTGTATATTCATATAAGACTTGTAAGTCTATTTCTTTCACCAAGTAGGGGAAGTTTTCTCTCATTATTTCTTAAAATAGGTTTTCAATCTCTTTCTCTCTTCTCCTTCTGCACCCCCATAATGCGACTGTTGGTTGGCTTGAAGTTGTCGCAGAGACTCCTTACACTGTCTTCATATTTTTGTATTCTTTTCTCTTTTTGCTCTTCTGATTGTGTGTTTTTTGCTTCCTCAAATTTTGAATCATTGATTTGATTCTCGGAATTCTCTACTCTACTGTTGAATTCCTGTAAATTATTTATTATTTTAGTTAATGTATGCTTAATTTCTGACTGATCGTTTTCTATCTTTGGCATTCTCATGAAGATCCTTGAATAATCTTATATCTGTGGTTTTGAACTCTGTATCCATTAGTTTGCTTTCTTCCATTTCTTTCATTTGTGACATGTTTCTTTGTCTCTGCATTTTTGCCAGTTCCCTGTGTTTGTTTCTATTTATTGGGTAGAGCTGCTATGTCTCCTGGAGTTGGTAGAGTGGCCTTGTGTAGAGGTATCCCGTAGGGCTCGGTGGCTCAGCCTCCCAGTCTCCTGAGCTGGGCACTCCAGGTGCACCCCTTTGTGGGTTGTGTGCAGAGTCTTGTTGTAGTTGAGACTTGATTGCTGTTGGCGTCACTGGGAGGAATTGACCTCCAGGCCAGTTGGCTGTGAGGACCAGTTGCAACTACAGTGGAAGAGCTGCTGTGCATGATAAAACCCTATGGAGCAGGACTTGCGTCAGTAGGGCTATGGTGCTCACTCAGTCTGCCCTTGAGTGTGTTGATTGTGGATGTGTAGAGCTGTAATCTGGTATGGTCTGAAGCTGTCCACCAGGTATACTGGCTCTGGGGTCTGCAGGAAGGTGCAAAGTCAGCCACTGCTTGGGGCCACCTGGCAGGAGCAGCAGAGAGATATGCAGACTCCTCCTATTTGTATTGGATTTGGAAGTGCCCAAGTGAGACCCAGCTTTGAACCAAGGCAGGCTGATGCTGGTGCCAGTGCCAGGTCATGGGCCTTTTACTGATAGGTATGGGCCATGCTGACACCAGCTGCAGCTTGTTTGAAAGATTTTAGGAAAGCCTGAAGCCTAAACCAGGACAGAGCATTCATATGTAAAGGCTGCTGCAAATAGCTTGGGTGGAGCTGCAAATTGGATGGGGTGGGGTCTCAGTGAATCACCAGGGCAGAGCAAACACATGTGCTCCAGGTTTATGGGGACTCCGGGATATGGTTGCCAAGCCAATCACCCCTGGGACAGGG